ATTAGCATAATTTCACCCAATTATTCCTTTTTTTCTCTCTTTCCATAATCATAATTTAATTCCTAAAAATATATTTCCAAATTCCTAAAAATTGCTACCAAATTAAAAAAATGATTTTTTTTATTTTTTATTATTTATTATTTTCGGATTTTATTTAGTCATTTTTTATTTTTATTTTTATTTTTTTAATATTTTTTTAATAAAAATATTTTTTTTTTATTTTTCTTAAACAAAAAATTGAATTTTTTTGGACAGTTTACAATGCCGAATATGACTATAGTTGAATATGACTATATGTGACTATGTCAATTGTAGTCGTATTATTTCTTTATATTGCACTTTTTTTACATTTTTAGCTTTAAAAAATCCGATTATATAGTGTTGTACAGTCATGTTTACCAAATTATATAAAACAACTAAGATTCCCTATTGTTTAGGGAAACAATACAATCAACATCCACACAAAAAATCGCAAAAGAATCACAATTTGAATCTTGTTTTTTCAAGTCAACTTGAAACGAGAAGATAGAACATATTCGAATATGACTACAATCATATTCAACAATAGTCGTATTCAAAATGACTACAGTCATATTCGAAAAAAATACATAAATATGACTATAGTCATATTTGAATATGACTATAGTCATGTTGTTGCTACTGTACAAATTTGAAATTATATTTTCAGATCTGGAGGGAAAAAAAAAAGAGAGAGATAAATCGAAAGTACATATAAAAGGGGAGAAAATTAACGAACAAGATGGAGGGGGAGTACGCTTCAATTCATCTAACTAAATACATAAATATGACTATAGTCATATTTGAATATGACTATAGTCATGTTGCTGTTACTGTACAGATCTGAAATTATATTTTCAGATCTTGAGGAAAAAAAAAAAAAAAGAGAAATCGAAAGTACATAAATAAAGGGAGAAAATTAACAAACAAGATGGAGGGGGAGTACGCTTCATTTCATCTAACTAAATACATAAATATGACTATAGTCATATTTGCTGCTACCACAGTGAAGGGAATGGGAAACAACACACCATTGCAACCTTTTCCGTAGCATATACCGCAAGTAAGAGTCTGTTCCAATAGAGCTGATTCCCATGTACTTGCACATATTCACTAGACGAGGCCTAAATTGCAAAAAACACAACCATATCATGTAATGATTGTTGTATATTTTAATCTTAAACAATGAGATACAATTATGAATACGAAAAAATGAACCTGCTGATATTATCTAGTGTGAGTTCATCATTGAACAGCTTAGCAAATCCCAAAATTTCCTCATTATCACCATCGCAAGCAAGGAAACATTGATTTATCATAAAAGTGGAAACCAGGTATTGAACCGGCACATCATCTTCTATAAACGAAAAATCTAACAGAAGTACGAAATATAGGCAGGTGCAACTGATGCATACTTTAGTAAATTTTATGATACCAAATCTATCAAAAATTAAACAGTTGCACAATCATCATAAGCTATGTTCCTCGGACAACAATGATTAGCTTTACTATGTAGAAATGACCCATATGCACAATTCCCAAAAAGAATATTGCTGCTACTGATACATAAATATGTTCCAGATCTGTAGAAAAAAACAAAAAAAAAAACAGAGAGAGAGAGAGAGATAGAGAGAGAGAGAGGGAAAGAGAGAGAAATCGAAAAATAAATAAATAAAGGTAGAAAATTAATGAAAGAGAGGGAGGGGGAGTCGACGACAACGGAGATGGCGGTGGTGGCGGCGCGGCGTGAGAGAGGCGGCGGTGGCGGCGGCGTCGACGATGAGCGGCGGTGGCGGTGGCGCCGACGATGAGCGGCGGTGGCAGCGGACGATGAGCGGCGGTGGCGGTGGCGCCGACGATGAGCGGCGGTGGCGGCGGACGATGAGCGGCGGTGGCGGCGCGGCGGCGGTGGATGAAGCTTGAAATTTTAGGAGTGTTTTGAGAGTTTAGGTGGAGAGGTGGAGAAGAAGATGAAAGTGGTAGGTGAGCAAATAATTAGGGTTATAGTAGTTGAGGGTAGGTTTGTCTTCTCACACTAGTCTAGGGGGGTCTCACTAATTAAGAATGAAATTTGGGTGTTGGGAAAAGTCTTTCCAAGTCAATTGGGTTTAGTTCAAAATATTTTCTATTTGAGGGGTGTATTGCATATTTCCCCTTAAATATATCACTCTGTATTGATGATGTTGTAAATATAAACTTGTATATTACTTCCTCCGTTTCTAAGTAGCGGTCACTTTTTACCTTTGCCAAGACAAGTGTTAAGAAATTCAATAAACGTGACTTGATTTTGGAAAAAATACTTAAAAAAATACTATAATAACCTCTTACCATTTAATGATTTATAAGAGAGAGAACACCAGTTGAATTAATAAAGTTAAAACAAAAAAAAAACGTGTTTAATGCAGTATTGAACATGTAACTTGACAGATAATATGGAACACTAGTAATAAAAAGTGACGGTTATTGTGAGATATAAGAAATATTAGATTTAATTATGGTTAAATTTAAATCATTAGATTGCTTGAACTCATTCATAAGAGATGATTGATAATTGATAAAGTGAAGATGAAGCATCTTCCAATATTTCCAAGCCCACATAAAGTAGAATATTGAGTAATGATTGATGAACATTCATAATCTAGGTAGAAATTCATAATTAAATTGGAACCAAATAATCCAATGATTCTTAAAGCTCCAATTATTACCCTTTTTTAAAGTTAATAATAGACTCCAATTCGATTATCTTTCTCAATATTTTTTTACGTCGAGTTTGTCGCACATAACTTATTTATTTAATGTAGTTTTATAAGTTTTTTTATTTGTAAATTATTGCACGAGAACAACATAACGTAGTAGGCATATGCAATTGCAAATTGCTTTGTAGAAAAAAAAAAGTCTTAGTCTAAACAAAATAATTATATTTTTTATTAAACGAAAGAGATATATGGCTACAACTAATTTTGCATGCCAATAATTCATCATGTGATAAACAAATAGCTAAGATGCCACCTAGTTCAGATAAGGGTTCTAACTTGGGCTTTACTTTATATATATATAAATAAATAGCACTATTACGCATGATTGAGCTTTACTTTTGCCTAATTTGCATTTCCCTAAAAGATAAAGGGCTTAATTGCAAACCATCAAATAATTTTGGCAACATCTGTGAACAAGAACCAATGCAAACTTATTATAATTCTTTCAAAGTCTGTTTTCAATTGGTAGGAGGATTTTTTTTAAGGGTAAACTTCATTTTGCCTACCTGAACTATACCCAACGTGTAAAATACCCCCCTGAACTTCAAAATGAACCAAAACAACCCCTCCCTTTTGTTGGTCAACGTTAAATATGTCAAAAAATTTAACACCGTTACTTTATATAGGAAAACCGTTAGTTTTAATGTGATTTTACACTTTTGCCCCCAAAATCTTCTTCTTCCTCCCTTCTTCTCCGTCTTCCTTGTCCATAATTTTTTTAATTTTTTTCTTTTTTCTTTTCCCCATTGCCGAACCTGTAGAAATTGATGTGAAGTTTGGTGGGCTGGAAATGTATATTGCATCCATTTCTTACTCTTCTTACTTCCGATTAAAAATGTATATTTTCCATGGGCCAATTGCCTTTTTAAATTGCCAAAATTTAATTTCAACATCTGGCAATTCACCCTTTCTTCACACACAGACAGAGTAGAGTCAACCGTTACATAGAATTCAAAGTTTCTCAACCACAGATGAATTCAATTGCATACTTCTCGATTCATAAAGACACACACATAGTGATTCAGTTGGAAGAGGCGGTGAGCGAACAGCTTTTGGTTGGAAGACCAGCCTCGTTGCGGCGTTACGAACGGCTGACGACCGGAAAACGGATCTGGCGTGGCGATTGTCATTTAGTTTTTCTTCTTTCTTTTCTTTTTGCAGGGGGATTTCAAGAGGTGAACGATGCAAGAAGGGTTATCTGTAAACCCTTATTTCTTCAAATCCACAACTTAATTGTCAATTTCTCGGGAATTAATTTCGATAGTATCAAATTTTATTTTATTTTTGGTTTTATTGGAGTTTCAATTCAGTTGGATGTTGGTTCATTCGCCGGCGAATGACGTCATTTATATGTCTCGGCTCTGAAAATTCTTATATTTAAATCTCTTTTTTTTTTCTTTCGTAAAAGTAATTGACAAATTGTTGACGTGAAGAAATAATTAAACAGAGGGGTAAATTTGTCTAAAAAATGAACTTTACCCTTTTTTTAATAATATATTGAAATATATCATATAAAAATGTGTAATATAATTAATAATTATATTAATATTTTAAACATTTGTTGGAAAACTCAAAATTTTGGGTATACTTTTATATATCTTAGATTGCGATCTAATTTTTTTTCCTAGAGAAATAGAAAACCACAATGAAAAAAAGTTGTTTTCAAAAATTGAATATTTTCAGATCAAAATTCATTTTATTTAGGATAAATTAGGTTGGTTAAATTAAAAATAAAAAATCTCATGTTTAGGTAATTACAACCATCCATCAACTATAAATTTTCTTACACGTGAACCCTTGCAGTGTTAAATTTAATGGAATCTTCTAGATCATATAGAATATTCTCAATTGTGTACCCGTTTGATCCCATTCGATCTCCTCATTTTGAAGGAAGATGATCATAAGATGTGTTTTTTGGCTTGTATATATATCAGATTGTGGTGCATCAGAAACTGCATTTTTGCACAAAATGAGTACACTAGAGAACATTCCACGAAATCTAGAAGATTATGTTGAATTCGATACCATAAGGGTGGAGGTGTAAGAAGATTCATAGTTGAGGGAATAATTCTAATTACCCAAACGAGATGGGTTTTTTCGTAATTTGATCATACCCCAGGGAATGGTTGTAGTTTACCCTTTTATTTATAATTTCACATTTTTATGATAAAAAAATAAAATAAAAATAGTTGCGCCTGAAATGCAAATATATTATAAATAATAACAAACCAGTACTCAGTAACGCGCATTCAAAAAAACTGGACACAGATTTTAAAACTCATCTTCTCCGATTCTCCCCAAACGCGCATCACTCGGAGCTTTACTTTCCGGCCACCGTCACTTTCTCTCTCTAACCCCTCCTCTCTCTCTCTCTCTCCTGATTCTTCCCAAGAAAGCTCAAAGAAAACAAACACAAACACCACATCACTACCACCCAACCAGTGCGCGCGTGCGCGCGTGTGTGAAAATGGCAGTGTCAAAGAGCAACAAGAAGAAGCATCACCAGAGCTACATTTCAGTACCATCCCAGATAATAAACTCCATCTCACAAGCATCCCTCGAATCTCTACTCCACTCCCCAAAGAAAAAACAGAGCCCACCATCAAAGATCACCGTCTTGCTAAAAAACCCAAGATTCTCCATTTTCTTGATTTTCGTGCTGGGTTTTCTCTATATGCTGTTCAAGATGCCTTTCTCGCAAAACCCATGTTCTATTTCTCAAGAAAAGGCCGGTTTCTCAACTGGGTTTTCGAGTTTTCGGCGTAATTCAATCGAAAAAGCAGCCGTTTTCGACGAAAAGTCGGAGTTTTGGGTGCAGCCAGATGGGTTGGGGTATAGGCCTTGTTTGGATTTCAGTGAAAAATACAGAGCAGAAAGTCTTGAAATTGTTAAGGACAGAACAAAGTATTTGCTTGTTGTTGTTTCCGGTGGGATGAATCAACAGAGGAATCAGATTGTTGATGCTGTTGTTATTGCAAGGATTCTTGGTGCTTCTTTGGTTGTCCCAAATTTGCAAGTCAATGTTATTTGGGGTGATGAAAGGTTTGTTCTTTTCTCTCTCCTTTTTTTTTCAATTTTTGGGACCATTTTGTAATTTTTCACTTTTTACTTTTTTTTGTATTGACTTGAAGAGAATTATGAATTGCAGTGAATTTTCGGATATATTTGACTTGGATCACTTCAAGAAAGTGTTGGCGGACGATGTGAGGGTAGTTTCGTCACTTCCTTCGACTCATTTGATGACGAGGCCGGTCGAGGAGAAGAGGACCCCACTCCACGCCTCGCCGGAGTGGATTCGCTCCCGTTATATTCGAAGGGTGAGTTGATGAACTCACTTATTATCCTTTCTTGATGCTTATTTTCGACTCTTTTTTAGTACGTTAGCGTTGGTTTTTGGAAAGACGAGAATAGTTTTAAAAAATAAATAAAATTGTTCTTTAGTATGTCGAAATTGGGCCGGCGTTTGATCCGCAATGGCATCGGGATGATTCCAAAGTTTGAGTCTTTAACATTGGAAACACCTTAAGACTTATTCCAAGGTGACAAGATTAAATCTTTACTTACGATCACCAAACCCTTAAAACTCGAAAGCTTCTTATTCGAGTTTTTTTTCGATTCATTAAACATGTCTTATATAATATACTTCCATGTGTGGATTCTTTCGGAATAATGTTTGAGAAAAGGAATCAAAGAATTAAAAATGGAGGGAATTTTTTTCGAATTTATGTTCGTCTTTTCTTTTTCTTAGGTCTAATGAGTAAAATTTTCTTGCTTCTTGCAGATTAGGAGAGATGGCGTACTACTATTACGCGGATTGGACTCGAGGCTTTCGAAGGACCTTCCTTCCGACCTTCAAAAGCTACGTTGCAAGGTATACATACACATTGCACTTTCATCGATTTTTGGTTAATCCATAAAATTCCTTGCACAAAATCTTCTGACAATTCAATCCACTAATCTAAAAACCTATATATAACTCGGTTTTCAGGTTGCTTTTCACGCATTGAGATTCGCACCACACATTTCAGAACTCGGTACGAAGCTCACCGAAAGAATGAGAAGCAAAGGACCATACGTTGCTCTTCATCTAAGAATGGAAAAAGACGTTTGGGTAAGAACAGGTTGTCTACCCGGTCTTAGCCCTAATTACGATGAGATGATAAATAACGAGAGAAAATCACGTCCGGAGCTTTTGACTTCGAGATCCAACATGACCTACCATCAACGAAAACTCGCGGGCTTATGCCCTTTAAACGCCTTGGAAGTCGCAAGGTAGTAGTGATCTCGTTTTTTTTTTTTTTTAAATAAAAAAATTACGATTGAAGTTAAAGAAAATATTTTTTTTTCTAAAACGATAATAAACATTATTTATTGATTATTGTGTTATTTAGGTTGCTAAAAGCATTGGGAGCTCCTAAGACGACGAGGATATATTGGGCAGGAGGGGTTCCGTTGGGAGGAAAAGAAGCCTTGACTCCGTTGACTAGCGAATTTCCGAATTTCTACAATAAAGAAGATCTTGCTTTGCCGGGGGAGCTCGAGCCGTTTTCGAAGAAGGCTTCTTTAATGGCTGCTATTGATTATATAGTTTCCGAGAGAAGTGACGTTTTTATGGCGTCTCATGGTGGAAATATGGGCCATGCAATCCAGGGGCAAAGGGCGTATGCGGGGCACAAAAAGACGATTATACCGAATAAAAGACAGATGCTCTCGTATTTTATGGACACTTCTCTTCCGGAAAGTGAATTCAATAAGATTATAGTCGACTTGCATCGGGATTCGTTGGGGAAGCCGGAGCTTAGGACTAGCAAAAACGGGAGAGATGTGACGAAATATCCTATTCCCGAGTGCATGTGCAATAATACCGTTGCTCGTTCTTCCATCGAAGTAAAATGATTGTGTTTGCTTGGTGAGTTGTGAGTTTTGTCGGGATGAAAATTACGAGCAAGATAAACTTGACAGGTGGCGAGTTCTCATTGGCTCGAGATGCATCGACATTTTCGATGTCTGGTTGGTGGATTATTCGGTAGGGGGAGCAAGTATAGGAAACATATATATGTATTCTTTTTATTTCATTTATTCTTTTTGTTGTATCTAAAGGGGGGGCTACATTGTATATAATATTTATACGTATACATTAGATTAATTTTAATAAATTTATTCTTTTATATTACACTCTTGTTGTGCAGTAGTATATCCATGTCAGTTCTTGCAAGACTTTATGGGGAATCTGGGAAACGGCATGTACCGAAAATAGGGATACGGGAACTTGGGGAAAATGTGTAAATATTAAAAATATAGAAGTATATTTATAAATATGTAATATAAACATAAAACATGCATACGTTTTTAATGATATATAAATCATTTTATATATTTTGATTTAAACATATTCAAAACAAACTTTACTATCAACAATAAATTTGCAATTGAGCATTAAACCATGTAAATAATTAGGGAAAACAACAAAAATATTTGAAAATTTGGTATTCAGACGTGTTTCTAACTTTTTAAAAATTGCAAAATGGCACATAAGAAGTTGAAGTTTCCGTGCTACATAGGTTACGGGTGGAAATCGAACATATCAAATTTAGCACTTCTGAAAAGTCCAATTATTTTTTCCTGAAGTGAAAAACTAATTACATATTTATTATTTAATATGCAACTTTTGGGAAGAAAAAAGAAAAACACAATTTCCAGAAATATTTCCAGGAACGTCGAGAAAATCGGAACCGGAATTCGAAAATTCAGTTCCAATATCAATAATTAAATCAAAATCTTTATTACAAAATATTTCCATCTAATCCTACTAACAAATCCGCACGGGGGCAAGTGTACAACGAAAGAGGCTCTCGATTGTTCAATCTGCAGTTCAAAGTAGAGCAAAAGAAACAACTCTCGGATGACTCGACTGGTTCTAGAACATTTCAAATCTATCTTGTGTAACCCTGTTATCTGGACTCGACCAATATAGGAGTTTCTCTAACGGGATGTGGCCATAACGGTGAAAGAGCGACGACTTTTCCGATCACAATCAGAGTCGGCGAAACTAGCTCTTGCGACGCAATTTCATCGGCTAGGTCTTTCAGTTCAGCAAACACCTTTTTCGTACCAAAATATAGTCTCAATCAGATTAAATTAATTTTAAAAAATTATACAAATCATGCATCAAGAATGATTCGATTGTGATTTACATAGAGCACAAAGGCAAAACCAATCCATAAGACGAAAAAGATTTCGAAATAAGTCTTTACTTGCAATTTTAATCACAATCACCAGCTTCTACTTATACAAAAGCTTTTGCAAACACCTTCTTAAGATAAGTTTTTTTAAACTATAATCTCTTTTGGCTTTAAAGCTACATTCGACGATTAAGCCCTTGTTAATTTTATAAAAATACATTTTATAAGGGCATTTTGAGATATTTAACAAAAATAAGTAGAAAATGAAAGCTTCTTATCAACTTCAAAACGGACCGCTTAAAGTTGAAGCTTTCGCAAACGCCATGATAATCATGGATGTTGAAGATGGCATGGGATTTCCAAAACGTAACTTCCTATATTTTAATATAAAAAAAAAAAATCAAAGAAGTTGCTTACAATACGTTGCTGAGGTGTCGTTCCACGCTCGATGGCAGCAGTCGGTGTGTCCTCGGGCAAACCATGAAACATCAATTTAGAGGCAAGAGAAGGGAGAGTAGACAACCCCATATACACAACAAGGGTAGAATCGGGATCCGCAGCATTTTCCGCCACAAAAAGAGGATCTTTCCCTCCCTTTCTCGAGTGGCCAGTGAGAAATTTTACGCTGTTCGCCACCCCACGGTGCGTCAGTGGAATTCCTAGTTCTGCTGCTATTCCAGAGGCTGCCGTTATACCTGCCAAAAAGTTCACCTTTTAATTAAAATATAATTCTCGTTATATATATAAAAACAAATTCCGATTATGACGAGGATTAAAAACTAATTACCTGGAATGACTTTTACTTCGATTCCTTGTTGTTGAAGAAAGTCCATCTCTTCTCCACCCCTTCCGAATACCTAATAACCGAGACTTATAAGACTCGTATCCAATTCGTAACAACTTACACACATATTTCGACTATTAATAAAAAATAAAAAAATGAAAAGTTAAATTAAATCAGCAAACTCACTAATGGGTCGCCACCTTTAAGCCTCACAACATTTGCTCCCGCTTCGGCAAAGCTCAAAAGCAACTCGTGAATTTCCTCCTGCTGAACCACTCAATCATAAATAACTTTGTTTTTTTTTTCCAAGAAGACGATAAAGCATATTTTATCGATGTAAAGAAGATGTTAAAAAAGATGCCACGGAAATGTATAGTTTCGACTTTCGAGGACGATGATGAAAAATTCACCTTAACCAACCGTAACCGCATGCCATTCATCATACGGTTACAATTTTGGTAGGATCGAAATCTACCATGCATGCGGCTATCTTCATTCTTTGCCACATATAATTTATCGTCTTAAGACCCTAACTACAACCGAATTCGATAATTAAAAACTCACTTCTCCATTTTTTTCGAGTCGGTCACATTGGACACTAGATCTTACTTAGTCATATACTCCCCATACGTCTAACGTCTGCACAAAAACTAATCGAAAAGGCGACGAGCAGAACCAAATTCAACAAAGATTCCAACTTTATAAATTCCCCCCAATTCTCAAACAATGCTCAATTACTAAACAGCCACACGAAACTCAAGTTCATCACATTATCAGAAAAACAACACGAAATTCTTCCAATTTGGTATGATCGATCGAAACACGAATTTGGATTAAAAACCAACACACCCCTAAAACACATATAATTTACCGTCTTACAATTCGATAACTAAAAACCCACTTCTCCGTTTTTTCGAGTCAGTCACATTGGACACTAAATCTTATTTAGCCATACACTCCCATATATCTACTTACTGCTGCAACGTCTGCTCGAAAACTAATCGAAAAAGGCAACGAAACTCGAAAGCACCATTCTAAAACAACACAAAATTCTTCCAATTAAAAAACAAAAAAAAAACATCATAGTACAGAACAAACAAACAAACAAACCTGAGTTCTGCTGTGGTAGCCAGCAGTTTTGCCAACATACAAAAGCCGAGCACCGGGCCCCACCAAATCCAACACATCATTCGAAACCAGCCTATCGTACAACAACAGATCGGCGTTCTCAATAACCCTCATCGCCTTGATCGTCAGCAATTCCGGGTCGCCCGGGCCCGTACCCACCAAGAACACATTTCCGGGCCCGGGTTTTCGGGCCCCATTTTCGCTCTCTCTTTTCTCCTTCAGAACATCAAGCAATTTCCTCAGCTCCGGAATCTGCATTCCGATATCGTAGTCCCTGACGAATTCCTGATCGGGAGGAAGCGGGCACGACGGAGTGGGCTGCTGCTGCTGCTGATTATTGTTGTACAGCCAGCTGTCACGGTTGTACCTTTCGATTGAATGCTTCTCTGTAAAAGGTGACGCCTTTTGCGAGTTCGACACACAGTGGACGGTGAAAACTGTTTTGAGGTTCGAGGGTTTGGGGTTTCTTGATTGGATTGGTGTTGGGGAAGAAGATGGGATTCTGCTAACGAGAGCCATGGGAATTGAACAAGGGTTTTTGGGTTGTGTCGGAAATGTTAAGGTTTGTTTAGCAGAGGTGTGAGGGGTATATAGAATATAGATAGATAGATACACGCCTCTGTATGTATTGTATGTGACCCTGATGTGGGGCAAATGCAGCTGCTTTGAGCTTTAGGGGATGATGAGAAGGCAATTTTTGCTTAGCTTTTCACAATTTGATAAAGACAATAAATATTCTTCTCTCTTTTGGTAGGCACACTACCCTTAGATTTTATATTTACTTTTTTGACCTTTTATTTTATTTATCTAATATTATTTTTCTCAATTTTGACCTTTGGGGCTTTCAAGTTTTAGGAATAATACGGTAAATTTCTAAAAAAAAAAAAAACCAAACTTAGGCTAAATTACAGAAAACATCTCCACATATCTGTAATTACTAAAATCATCCGACGTTTGTTTACGTCTTATACCGACCCCTTAAGGTTGTGTTTTTTCACGAAATTTTTTTTATTTGAAGGAATATTACCCATGATTCTATCCTTGTAAACCTGACATTTCTTTATGTTTCTTTTTTAAGGCAAAAAATTACCCTAATGGGGCATTTACATGTAATCTTTATTTTTCTTAAATAGCATAAGTATTTTTTGTCTTCAAGAAGTAGCATAAAGAAATGTCAGGTTTATCAGGGTAGAATTGGCATTTTTCGAAAAATATTTCATGTAATAAAAAAGATTCCGTGAAAAATCACGCAGTAAGGGGGTCGCTGTAACAAGAACAAACGTCGAAGGAATTTTGGTAATTACTGATAGGTGGGGGAGTTTTTTTGTAATTTAACCTAAGTTCAGGAAGACTTTCGTAATTTACCCTAAATTTTGGGGATAATAGGGTAAATTACTAAACTTCGCCTGAACTTAGGCTAAATTATGAAAAACACCTTCACATATCTGTAATTAGTAAAATTTGCCAGACGTTTGGTTACGTCTTACACTGACCCCCTTAAGTTGTGATTTTTTACGAAATCTTTTTGATTCCCCAAAAAATGGTGCTTCTATCAATGCAGACGTGACGTTTCTTTATTCTATTTTTTAAAGACAAATATTATCCTAATGGGGCCTTTACATGGATTTTTTTTTTTCTTAACTAACATATTCACAACTTTTTAGTAATATCATTACCCTTATGAGGGTAATTTTCGTCTTCAAAAAGTAGCATGGAGAAATACCACGTCTGCAAGGGCATAATTGACATTTTTTGAAAAATACTCCAGGATGTGAAAAATCACACAACAAGGGGGTCGGTGTAATATGACATAAACAAACATCGGAGGGATCTTAGTAATGACCGATAGGTGGGGGAGTTTTTCATAATTTAGCTCAAGTTTAGGGGATTTTTCATAATTTACCCTAAATTTTAACTACTCGTTTTGTTTATTTATAATAAATAACGATTAAGTAATCCACTAAAATCTTGATTTTAAGCGGTAAAGTTGATATTTGCTTGGGCTGACCGTGCATTATCAATATGGGCCTATATAACTTGTGATATAGGAAATTGGATTGATTTTTAATTCTTATGGGCCCACCCGAAAAATGGACTTAATTTAAGTAGACAAATTATTCCAGATACATATTAAATTACTTTTCTCACTAATGTTACAACAAATAATTCAAAATACGAAGCACAAATTAAAAAAAAAAAAACAAATATGGGTTCATTTGGATGGAGGAATTTCAAATCCATAATAACAATTTCCTTTAACTTGTTTGGATTGAGAGATTTGGGGATGAATTTCAAATCCCTCAATCCAAACAAGTGCAAAGAATTTGTTATTATGGATTTCAAATTCTCCTCCAAATCCCTCCATCCAAACGGACCCTTATAGTTTTTAAAACCCCATATCCAAATTCTTGCCGATAAATGAATCCTCAAAACAAGATGGTAGACAATGAAACGGAACTAAGATTTATGTCCATACATATAATAAACTACAAGCGCAATAGTTGCGAGTTTAACGGGTACAAAGACATCGGAATTGGCGGGCGCGGCGTTTTCTCTTTCTTCTTTGATTTCTCAGAAGCACTTCGCGCGCTTCCGTCAGTTACACGTGACGATGAAGAAGTAAAACAACTAAAAAAGCTCGAGCCGAAGAAAGCCATCTATCTATATAGAAATTTGGGGAAGTGATGATGACTAGGAAATTAATATGTAGTATAGTATATATTTATTGGTTGTTGTTTGGATGAAATGAAATCAAGAACTCTAAAATCTTGTATGCTATAACAAAAAGAAAGAATGAGCAATTGAATGAGAGGTGAATTAGTTTGTGAAAGTGTATAACTATTTATAGGGAAAGTCTTTATAATTTGGTGGGGTTTAATTTAATTTAATTGATGAGCAAGGAATGGGTTGTGAATTGTGATTGGTTGCTTGACATTATTTTCTAGCTTCCTTTGTCAATGTCACTTATTAGTTGCCACGTGGTCTATGTTGTGAGTGTGGCTGCTTAAATGTTTCGTGTTTTGGTTGAATTGTTCTATTTATTATTTTATTTTATTTTTCTTCTATAATTATTAGAAAGGTGACGTGTTGACTTCATGCAGCTTCCTTACGCACAGTTATAGCCCGTTTGACTAAGCTTACGTTAAAGAGTTGATAAACTCTTATATATGATAAATTGTTTTAAGAACTCGTATTATTACGTCTTATTTTTAGAATTAAGTTTTAAAGTGTTTGGATAATGAATTTATAAGCTCATTTTTACTCATTATGAGATTTTAAATAAAAAAGTAGATTATATTCATTATAGCTAGGTATTTTATAAAATAAATATTTTAAAAGCTCTCCAAGCAGCTTATTTGTTGAATTTTTAAGGTCTTTTTAAAAAAAATCCAAACATTTTGAAATAGCTTATAAACTCTTAAATATTTTATAAGTTATTTTTAACAACTTATAAGCTTAGTCAAACACCCTCATACTCCCTTAAAATTGCCAAGAAATATCGTATTCGAGAAATTGACTGATTTTAATTTTTGTTTTCTTTCTATGTGCATTTTTTTTAATTATGGAGCAAGTAAACGTAATAAATCATGAATAATAAAGTGAAATTTATAGAGTTACATTTATATTAAATCATTATTCTTGTTTATATCGGGTCATTGAGATACTACACCCGATATTATATATCAAGTAATTTTTAGCCATTGATGTGGTCAAAAAGCTCACATATACATATGGATGTGTGTCATTATATACCGATCAATGATCAATAATCATGATTCACGTGATATATTTTAGGGGATGTAGCATCAAATAAACATTTATATCGCCATAATTTGGTGACACGTGTACTAATTAAATAGTATCTATATCACTTTCATGAGTATTAAAAATCTCGACATTCCTCATCCAAGGGGGTCAATTGGTTTTTTTATTATTCAAAGGTGGTGAATATTAATTCCTCATCGGATTATTTGCCTTATAATAAATTAATAATAATTATTAAAAATAAAAAAACAATAGTGAAAATCCTAAGTACTAACTACCAAAGACAATAACAATTTCAAGACTCAAGGCCTCCTCATAACTAGAATATATGTCAACCAAGAACTATTTTATATTACACATACATATATTTCTATTACTACTAATGCTGCAACAAATAATTAATCATCGAATGAAACACTAAATGAAAAAAAAAATTACAACCCAATAAAATGAATCCTCAAAGCAAGATCATCATAGTGAAATGGAACTGCGATTTATTTCCACATACGTCAAGAATTACACTATAAGCGCGAGATTTGCGAGTTTAACGGGAACAAAGACATTGAAATTGGCGGACGTGGTGTTTTCTCTTTCTTCTTCGATTTTTCAGAAGCGTTTTGCGTGCTTACATCAGATACTTGTGAAGACGAAACAAAACAACTAAAAAAACTCGAGCTTAGAGTAAAGGCCATATTGTATCTATAGATCTTTGTCTAAAGTGATATGATTATGATAATTTGTGGAGTATATATATGTGTGTTTGATGAAATCAAGAATGTGCTTATAGGATGATGAATGAATTAATGGTTTGTTGAAGTGGCTATTTTATAGTGAATTCATCATGACATAAGGATTTTGGGTTATTTATTGATAAATAAGCAAAAAAAAAAAAAAAAAAAAAAAAAAAAGAAAAGAAAACCCTCGATTCTGATTGGCCGTGTGACTGCTTGCTTCCTATGTCTCTCTAGATTTATTATAAGAAATGCGACTTTAGGGAAATAGTCAAACTTTGGGAAATTGACCGATTCATGCACTTATCTTTAACTTGCTTACCAAGTTTGAAATTTCCACAGAAATTAGTATGTTTCAAGTTTGAAATTTCCACAGAAATGAGTATGTTTTTTTTTTTTTTTAAATTACAACCACCTCTGAGGTACGGTCAATTTATAAAAAAACTCATCTCGTTTGGATAATTACATTTACCCCTCTTAACTATGATTTTTTCTTACATCTCCACCCTTATGGTATCAAATTCAACATAATCATCTAGATTTCATGGAATGTGCTCTATTTGTACTCGTTTTGTGTAAAAATACAGTTTTTGATGCACCACAATCTGATATATACAAGCCAAGAAACACATATTATGATCATCTTGCTTCAAAATGTGGAGTTCGAATAGGATAAAACGGTTACGAAAGTGATAATATTCCATATAATCTCGAAGATTACACTAAATTTGAAACCGCAAGGATGAACGTTTATAAAGAAGATATATAGTTGAGGGGGGAGTGTAATTATCTAAACAAGAGGGGGGGGGTTTGTACTTTAACCATACCTAAGGGGGAGTGTAATTTAAACTTTTTTTTTTTATTTATAGGTTTGAATTTTGAGGGCTACATAAGAGGTAATTTCTAGTTTATCTTTTTCACTTTTAATTTGAATGATGTAAATAAATAATCTATTCCTAGCAGAATTTTGAAAATTGGCGAAATTTAAAAATCATGCTCTACTTTCTACCTCAAAGATATATATATATATATATATATATATATATATATATATATATATATATATATATATATATATAT